CCCTTTGTTCTCCGCGGGCTCCTGCGCTGCTCCAGCCTGTTGCCGGGGTCGGCGCCGCCCAGAAAGCAGCCCCCGGCCTTGGCTCCGTTGCCCGCGCTCAGAGGTCGATGGCTCGGGGGCACCCCCCCCTGGGGGCCCCGTCGCCCGGCTCCCTGCCGGCGCCCGGCTGGCTGGTGTCCTGGCTGGTGCCTGGCAGGGGCTCCTGCTCCCTGTCGCATTCCTCCAGTCTGTAGCTTTTTTTTTTTTTCTTCTTCCCACTAGGGGAGTCTAGGATCAGAGTCAACAGACTGTCCTCTGCGCGCAGTGCGCGCAACTCTGGGGGCTCCGCTTTTCCTGCCACTCCCCTGGGATTCCGCCTCACAGCCCCATCTCCCCCTGCCCGAGCCTGGGTCCCCAGGGTCTGGTCCAGGACTGGGGTTCAGAGCAGTCCGGACTGAGGCTCAGCGCCGCCGGAGGCTTTGTTTCTTCATGCTAGGGTAATCCAGCATCAGAGTCAACATTCAGTCCTCTGCGCACAAAGTGCACGCGACTCTGGGGGCCCTGCTTTTCACTGCTCGCTTGGAATTCCACCTCACAGCCCCGTCTCCCCCGCCGGAGCCTGGGTCTCCAGAGTCTGGCCCATAACTGGGGGTCAGCACTGCCGGTTTGAGGGTTTAGCCCAGGCTGGCGGTTTTATTTCCTTCCTGCTAGGGAAGGCCAGGCAGCACCCAGCCCTCTCCTCCTCTCCGGCTGCGACCTTTCCGCGCGCGCGTGCGAGCGTGCAGCATGTCTCTGTACCTTGGGCTTTTTTTCAGCTCCTCTGATTTTCCTTCTGGTTTTCTCTTTCCTTCTTGTTGTAGAATTTTCAGTCAGTCGACTACCTGTAGCTCTGGGCGATGTCCACTCTACATTTTAGTTGTATTCCATTGAAATTGTTGTGTGCTGCTGCGGTTAGGTGTCTACCCGAGCAGCCATCTTGGATCCTCCTCCCCAGAGTTGTGTCTTCTTATACACCTGTAACAGACTGACTTTTTGCCTGATCATCTTGATTTAATATTCTTGTACTTTTTCATTCTGATCACCTGCCTCTCTGAACTCATGAACACCTGCAAGCAAATACTCTGTGCTGATGGCTAAGCAACAAATCTAGTGGCAAATATCGGGATTTTTATACCTCTTACTCCTCTAGACAGATCATTTACTTTGATGAATGGGACTGAAATCTGGCTTTCTTGCCCATTTAAGCTAATTATCTTGTGTTAGGTTCAAAGCATAAGAGAATGCATCCCAAAACTTCCATAGGCCCTACCCAGTTTGGCTCAATGGATAGAGCGTTGGCCTGGGGACTGAAGAGTCCTGGGCAAATGCCCTAGTTGTGGAATCGATGCCCAGTAAGGGGGCATGCAGGAGGCAGCTAATCAATGATTCTCTCTCATCATTGATTTTCAATCTCTCTCCCCCTCCCTTCCTCTCTCTGAAACCAATAAAAATATATTTAAAATTTATAAAAATTTATATTTTTTAAAATATATAAAAAATTAAAAGGAAAAACACTTCCATGGGATAAGAATTACATGGGGTTGTGGCAACCCCACACTCTCCCTTCTATTCCCCCTCGATGCTGCACACTACATTTCCCAGATTCTCTTGCCAGGGATTTTTGCCTAGATTTGGCCAAAGTGAGTCCCTGGCAGGTGAAAAGAAGAAGTCATCCTGGTCCCCGAATGAGCACAGGTGGTGCCAGTATAGCGTTCCAGCAGCAGCCTGGCAAACCTCCCTCAGAGGTCCCAGCATACTTGTGTGGGCTCCAGTCCAGCTGCTTCTGCAAGTGACCTCCCCAATCCTGTTTAGTCCTCTGCACACCCCCTTCCTCCTTTTACTCCACCATTATCACTATGATAGTGTTGGCAAAATGGCCTCAATCTACCTACTCTCCTTTGTGATGTCACTGTAAATCTCCTCCCATCAAAAAGTGGAGTCTATTTCCCCATCTTGAGTCTGGGCTGGCTTGATGCCTGGCTTTCGCCAACAAATGGCAACAAAGCAATGCTGTACAGGTTCCAATTCTAGACCTAAAGACCTTGCATGCTTCCTTTTGGAATCCCATTGAGCTTCTATGTCAATGAACCCGGGCCAGCTCACTGGAACGTGAAAGACCTCTTGGAGGAAAGCCAAGGCCCCAGCCAATCATGAGAGACCTCATGAAGGAATGCCAACTGCCCCAGCCAATCATCAGCCAGACCCCCCAGAATCAGAGCCACACCCATCACAGATACTTGAAGGAGCCCACCCAAGAACAGAAGAACAATCCAGTTGGCTAATAGACTGGTGAGCAATAAAAAAAGAGTTGTTCTTTTAAGCTTTTAGCTTTAGGGGGGTTTGTTACCCCACAGCAGATAACTGATACAATAGCTAATTCCTTTCATTAAATCTCTCTTCTGTTGCTGTTTCTCTGACTGGACCATGATTGATAAAGGAAACGTCTTAAAAATGCAAATCCCCAATTGAACATCCCAGGCAATTTTGATATATGTAGCTCTAGAATATTCTTTGCCCAACACAGCTTTCAAAGGCCTGTTGAGGTCATTTAGCTATACTGTGCCCTCTCAGGCAGTTTACAGATACGATCACATTTAAGAAAAAAGCCCAGTGTGATTAAATAAATACTTAGTAACCCATTCCTGTGTCCAAGAAATGTCACATCCCTGCCCAGGATTCTTTTCTCCATAGTAATCACTAGTTTTATTCCCTCAAGCTGCGGTTTTTGTCTCTTTCCTCTTATTTCCTGCTCAAAAGAAAGAAATATAGTTAGTGGTTGGTAGACATTTTCTATGAGTAAAACATTTTTTATCCCCTACGTTAAATAGTCCCAACTAGATACTTTATAAAGTATAAAGTATAAAAAGAAAGAAAAACACCTTTAGTCTCAGACTGATTTTAGATAACCCAAATCTACTGTGTGATTTTCCACAAGCCATTAATCTCTCTGAACCTCAATTTTCCCAACTGTTAAAAGTAAGATGTGTTGTGAGAAATAAATGAAACAGAGTTTGTAAAAACTTAATGTGTTAGGGGTTGGCTTTCATTTCTCTACGGTAGAACTGCAGAATAAAAAATGAAAACCTAAGAATCTGACATGGATCCAAATCCCCAAAACCCAGACTTACCAGAGCATCATGAATAGACTCTCCCATAATGATGGCTAAAAGGCAACAATACCTATGGCAACCAATGTGGGGACTAGACTTAAGCCAACCACCCTCCCTACCCTATGAGGAGGGAATGCCCTATGGACACCCTGTCTCAATAAAAGACCACCAAAGAGGCTGATCAAGCCTTCTAATTTTACCCAAGCAACAAAAAAGGGTGTTCTTTTAATATGAGATAATATCTTTAACAAAGAAACAATAGAACTTAGATTTCTATTGCCCAAAACCATCACTGTCAATACTTGAAGTATATTTTTCCACACTTTGTGAGCTGTTCCTTCAACCTCCACTTCAAGCCCTCCCAAAAAATGATTCTCTCTTATCAATGTTTCTAACTCTCTATCCCTCTCTCAGGCACAAAACAGGCAGGGAACAGTGTGGATGAGACTGTGGATCTCAGAGGAAGACAATGAAAGGAGTTTACATCATGCATTCCCCAGAAGTCACTTCCACTTCCCCCATCAGATCTCTGTTCCCTTAAAGTTCCTCCTAGACTGTGCAGGGGCAGAGGAGGGAAGAAGTGAGGGGACAGGAGGTAGAGAAAGGCCAGGGAATAATATAGAGTTTCTCTTTCTTCCCATATATAATTTCCAACCTTGTTGAAACCTGCCTCCCTCCAAAACACTCCTTTACTATCTGGGGAAAGTTAGCAGCCATCTTGGGGTACTTCAAATTTTTTTATTATTCTGGATTCATACACCATTCATAACCATCGTAGTTCTTTTAAAGACATAACATGTGCTCACCAAGAAAGAGCATATGACAAAATTCAACATCTGTTCATGATAAAAACTCTCAACTACAGTATCTGAGTATGCAGAGAAAGTACTTCAACAATAATAGAGGGCATGTATGACAAGCCCACAGCTAACATCATATTCAATGGTAAATGCTGAAAGCTTTTTCTTTAATAAGAGCGAGATAAAGATACCCACTTTCAGCACTCCTATTCAACATAGCACTGGAAGTCCAAGCCAGAGCAATTATGTAAGCAATAGAAATAAAAGGCCTCCTAATCATAAAGGAAGAAGTCAAAGTGTCTCTATTTGTAGAGAATATAATATTATATAGAGAAAACCTTAAAGAGTCTGCCATAAAAAATAAAAAATAAAAACCTGTTAGAATAAACAAACCCAATAAAGTTGCAATATACAAAATTAAGATATAAAATTTAGATACATTTCTATACACTAATAAATTATCAGAAAGAACTTAAGAAAACAATTTCCCATATATCATCCAAAAAAATCAAATACTTAGCAATAAATTCAAGCAAGAAGTTGAGAGATCTGCACACTGAAAACTAAGACATTGATGAAAGAAAGTGAAGGCAAAAAAATAGATATCCCATGTTCATGGATGGGAAGAATTAATTAATGTTAAAATGTCCACAGTGCTCAAAGCAAGCTATAGTTCAATGCAATCCCTAGCAAAATTCCAATGACATTTTTCACAGAAACAGAAAAAACAACCATAAAATTTGTATGAACACATAAGACCCAGAGTACAAACTTGCAGTTAGTTAGTAAATTCTAGGGATCTGAGGTACAGCATGGTGATTATAGTTAACACTGTAGTTTATATACTAGAAAGTTTCTGAGAGTAAATTTTAAGAATTCTCATCACACACAAAAAAAAAGAAATGGTAATTATATAATGTGGTGAAGGTGTTGGGAACCTAATGGTGGCAATCATTTCAAAGACAGAAGCATAGCAGTCAACACCTTGTACAGCTTAAACTTACACAATGTTATATGTCAGCTATCTCTCTATATAAAAGCCTAAGTGACCATCACAACCAAACAACCGAAGAGGCTGTGTGGGGCAACCTGGCTGGCAGAAGGGTAGTAAGGGACAACCAAACAACCAATCACCAGGCTGTGTGGGATGACCAGGCCCACAGGGCAATTAGTGAGGGGTGACCAAAGGACCAAGCAGTAGGCTGCATGGGGCGACATGACCAGCAGGGGGTAGTTGGGGGCAACCAGGCCGGCAGGGGGTGGGGGGGTAGACAGTTGAGGGCAGTCAGGCTGGCAGGGGGGCAGTTAGGGGTGATCAGGCTGGCAGGCAGGTGAGTGGTTAGGAGCCAGCAGTCCAGGATTGTGAGACGGATGTCCGACTGCTGGTTCAGGACTAATCAGTCCAGGATTGTGAGAGGGATGTCTGACTGCTGGTTTAGGCCCAATCCCTGGAATCAGGCCTAAACCAGCAGTTGGACATTCCCTGAGGAGTCCCAGATTGGAGAGGGTGTAGGCTGGGTTGAGGGGACCTCCCTTCCCCGCCCCCCCCCACTCCCCCCCTTCCCCCCCTACCCCCGTTTCCCAGTGCACAAATTTCATTTACTGGGCCTCTAGAAGCTCAATAAAGGTGAAAGAATTCTACAACTCAACAAGTAATTTGGAAATTAGAATAATTTGACCCACAATATGCACTACAACTTATATCATTTGCCAAAGATTTTTAAATATATATAGTATGTAGACTAAAAGGAGTTTCAAATTATTTTATATTTTGGTTTATATTACCAATAAATTATTAACTCTTTGAGCATCACCTGTGCCTGTTATGTGCCAGGCGCAGTATAAATTTCTTTACTCCAGTACTTCTCTCTCCCATTAGAGTCTGACCCATTCCATTGCCCACCCATTCTGCAGCATGCCTTCCCTCCTATCATAACACACTAGCACACTTGAATCCCAGATTCACGCAGTTGGAATAGACTGCAGAGATCAGGTCCACATTTCACTTGATTCATGAAAAAGCTGAGATCTGGGCAGGGGAATGGACTTGTACAAGGGCAGCCAGCTTTGGTTAGAACCCAGACCTCCTGTCTGTCACTTAGGAAGGACACTGTAGCATGGGGGTTAAGAATATATGTTGAGCATGTGCTGGGGAGTGGGAGTGGCTGGGGAGAAATCAATGGGAGGAAAAGGAGATTTATATAATAAATTAAAAAAAAAAAAAATATAAAAAAAAAAAAAAAAAAAAAAACAAGAGTGAGAACCACACAAAGGAAGGAAGGAAGGAAGGAAGGAAGGAAGGAAGGAAGGAAGGAAGGAAGGAAGGAAGGAAGGAAGGAAGGAAGGAAGGAAGGAAAGAGAAGGGAAAAAATTTATGCTGAGATGTGGGTCCAAATTTCAGCTTTGCCACTTACTATGTGACCTTAATTGTTCCATTTCTTCTAGCCTCTGCAAAATGTAGATACTCTTAAGCCCTGAGGTTGTTAAAAGACTCAATGAACCTATGAATATGTGCATGCTTATTGCACATATGTTCTGATTCTTATCATGGTTTTGACTAGTACTCCAGGAAAGACCTCAAATTTCTCATCTTAATCCAAATATCCCTCGCCTAAAGCAAGGAAAAAAGTATAAAAAGGTAGGAAGTGGGAAATGAACATGATGACAATGGACTCTTAATATGAGTAGCAAAGCTTGTCTAGGTACATGGAGCAATACCGATGGTCATGACTTTAATACCTGCTGGCTCCAATGTCAGGGTGGCTCTGGGGCACCATCATGGTTTCTACATTACTTGCAAAATTGTGCTCGGGAAAGCAGGCCAGCAGGCCTGGGACCTGGAAGAGCCTGCTCTTGGGTTAGCGATAGCTTAACATCTCACTGTCAGCCCAGGGAACACTTCTCAGCGAGTGTCTTGTCAACTCACCACCAGTAACACAACCTAACAACAAATGAACTTCATTAGGAAATAAAATTAAAATCTGTGGAATTGGTAAAACCCCACCAACTGAAAAAGATTTGTGGTTGGAAAGGTCAAATCTCCTGGAAAGAATAAGATTAGGAGAAAGCTAGGATAACCCAAATAAAACTAGGTCTTCCAGCCACTGCTTTGTGGCTGCTCTCTGAAGTAAGATCACATTCAAAATAAACACAAGTGGTTCTCCAAAAGCCTCAAAGAGTAACCAGGTCTTTAGAAAAGGAGTATTGACGATGCACAAAATGGGAGTTAACTACATCACAACTAGAGAACAACACGGAACTCTCCAAAATCCTCCCTGGCCATCCACACCTCTTCACCCAGAGGTGTCCTGTGCACTGCAGTCTCCCAGTGTGTGCCATCCCAAGTCCTCTCTCCTCTGTGGCCTCAGGCCCTTTCAGTGTTTCTTATTTCATCTTTTCAAGCCTCAGCCAAATGCTTGGGAACCATGTGACCTTCACTCAAACCTCCCCTTCTGTAAATGGCTTATTTTCCTAGGTCTGGATTTCCATGAACAATTGAAAGGATGACACCTAAATTAAGACACACCTGGGCACAGTGGTTCTCCTGGAAGGGAAACCATTGTTAGGTTCTCATTTTAAAGCATCTACACTGAATTACAATACAAAAAAAATGAATATTTTCATATAGAAATGAAAAACTATGCTATGTCCAAATCACAATGATTCAAGATCATGACATTATTCAACAGACACGCCTGGTGCCCAATGTCCCTGATGTCAAAGGGCAGAAAACCCTTTGCCTCATCCTGAGCTAAGTTGACCTTTGCAGTGGAAGTGGTCTGCTATAGAAGAAAGGTTACAATCCCCAGAATCACATGCACCAAGTTCAAGTCCTGACCCTGGCTCTTATGGGCTCTGGGACCTTGGCTAAGTGCTAGTAAAAGACAATCCTAGCTGATCTCTGAGTAAATTAATGTAGTTACAAATTCTTCATAGCTTCTGTCATCATAGGGGGAGCTTCTCCAACCTTTGACTGTTAGCTGCTCTGTGACCTGCTTTGACTCATAGAATGTAGTGGATGCAACATTGTGTAAGTCCCTAAAGCTCTGCAGGCCTTCATCTCCAGCTTCTTGGAATACTTCCTTGAGACCACAGTGTGAGGAAGCTAACCTGGACGACTGGAGAAGCCATGTGGAGAAAAGCAAGGCAGAGCCCACATCTGGCATCAACTGCCAAACCGACAAAAGAGGCCTTCTCCTACCTTCCAACCCAATGACTTGCCAGCATTCAGCATTCTGAGTCCAGTCAAAACCAGCAGATGCACCTTGCAAACCTAGAAAAGCATGAAAAGTGAGTCGTGCTGCCTTAAGCTTTGGGGTTGTTACATAGCAAAGGCTAACTGAGTCCCTATTTCCTCATTCAAGTGGGATGAAAATGCCTACCCAGCTATTTGTTTATCCAATAGATCTATTGATGTCCTACTATGTAGTATCCATAGAATGTATACTCACATATAATGTTTTGAATCAAATGAGATCATAGATGTTAAGATACTGGTAAATAGTTTTTATTATTGTTACTAGGACCTCCCTTTCTCTGAGCTCCCAAATTTTCTAAGCACTTAAATTCCTTTGTATTTGATCCTCTCAGCGGCTCAGACAGTATAATTTGCATCACTCTCTGATAGAACTGATCCTTGACATCTGCCCCTCTATTCTCATTAGAAGACAGGTCTGGCCCTAACTAGTTTGGCTCAGTGGATAGTCATCCTGCAGACTCAAGGTCTCAGGTTCTATTCCAGTCAAGGGCATGTACCTTAGTTGCAGGCACATCCCCAGTAGGAGGTGTGCAGGAGGCAGCTGATTGGTGTTTCTCTCTCATCAATGTTTCTAACTCTCTATCCCTCTCCCTTCCTTTCTGTAAAAAAAAAAAAAAAAATCAATTAAAAATATTTTTTTAAAAAGAAGACAGATCTGAACTTAAATACAGGATCTCTGGGACTTTCTTTTTGCAGGACCAGAAATTCACTCATTATGGGAAACACACAGCCACTGCTAATACGGAGGACTTTCCCATCACCATCCCAATATGAGCCTTTCAAAAAATTCTTTAGTAACAACAGTAGTTGCTAAAATTTATTGAATATTTACTATGTGCCAGGTGCAGTATTCAGCTTTTTAGTGATTTGTAGCCTGCTTCAATAGCACTCTGAGGCAGGTACTATGACTATCCTTAGTTTGAGATAAGGAATCTGAAGCCCCAGCAATATTAAGTAACTTGCCCAGAGACAGATGGTGTGATGTGGCCAGAGTTTCAATTTCTGGTAGACTTAACCACTACCCTGGCCAAACTCACTTGAACGTCCCATGCCACATTTCACTGTGGCTCCCAATACTTGTCCAGGATTAAATATATATATAAACATATGCATATATCCTATCTAACAAAGAGTAATATGCAAATTGACCATCACTCCAAAACACAAGATGGCTGCCCCCATGTGGTCAAAGATGGCTTTCCCCATGTGGATACAAGATGGCCACCACAAAATGTCCAGAAGGGGAAGGTAGTTTGGAGGGACCAGGTCTATAAGGGAGAACAGTTGTGGGAGATCAGGCCATCAGGGGAGGGCTGTTAGGAGGAACTAGGCCTACAAGGGAGGGCAGTTGAGGTTGATCAAGCCTGCAGGGGAGGGTAGTTACGGTGACCAGGTCGGCAGAGGAGGGCAATTAGGGGCAATCAGGCTGGCAGGCAGACAAGAAAATTGGGAGCCAACAGTCTTGGATTGTGAGAAGGATGTCTGACTGCCCATTTAGGCCCGATCCCAGTAAGACAGTCGGACATCCTTTAAGGGGTCCCAGATTGGAGAGGGTGCAGGCTGGGCTGAGAGACACACCCCTACCCCCATGCACGAATTTCATGCACCAGACCTCTAGTGTATACACATAGAGAGATTTGTAGAGACAGAGAGAGAGAGAAGAAAGAGAAACATCTATATTAGAGTAACACATCCATTGGCTGCCTTGTACACGCCCCCTACCCGGGTGGAGCCTGCAACCCTGGCATATGCCCTAACTGGGAATTGAAACAACCTTTTTAAAAAAAAAAAATAAATAAATAAAATAAAATAAAAAACCTTTTGGTGCATAGGATGATGCCCAACCAACTGAGCAACACAAGCCAGGGCAGAACATGTCTTTTGGGAGCTGCACTCCTTGGAGGTCAACTCCTGTGGCCTTGGCCAAGCCGTCTCCCACTCTAAACCTCTGCCCCACAGCAGGTAAACTATGCAAGTTAGACCAGGTAAAATAAAAAATCCCTTTCTAGCCCTGAAAATTAAAATGGTAAACTCTTCCCCAACATCTAGTTATAGTCTGAGTTTTATTCTCTTTCCTCCTAAGGCAACTAAAAAGCATTTGGGGAAGAAAAGAAAAAGCAGATGCTCTAAGTGTTTTTTAACTAACATAAGAAAATGAAAGGAGAGCAGAAGGGATTCTATTTATATCTCCCTCAAGGATTAGGCCATAATCTAAACCATTTGATTTTTTTTAATGCATTCAGTCAGAGCTGAAAGCCTGTGGGGTGCTCTTTAAGCCTGTCACGGAATGAAGTAATTCAATTAAAATAGGCTGAGGCTTTTGCAAGGTATTAAATGTCCTGAAGAGAAGATTTAGGAAGTCCTCAAAGCAGTGTGGGGAGGCTATAGGAAAGCGTAAGAGCTCGCGTGGGGTCTTTCTAGAGGTGAGTTGCAGGCAGACTACTTGGAAAGGGGGCCGTCAGCGTGGGAGCTGTACCTCGGGGGAAAGGACTGCCAAACGCTTCCCAACAGCTCAGCTCCAGGGATAAAGCCTATCCTTCCATAGCACGAAGTGGAGGTTAACAATAATCATTAATGAGAACCACTCACGAGCGCCCTCTATATTCCAGGCGGGGTGCTGACCTAAACCCTTTCACACTAGTGTTCACTATTATAGGAGGTTAAAAATCAGCCCAGTGCTTGTTTGGGCAGCACATATATGTACTAAAATTGGTATGATATAGAGGCTAGCATGGTCCCTGTGCAAGGATGAAATGCAAATTCGTGAAGCGCCCCGTGTTTTTCTGTACTGACTTGTAATTTTTTCTTTATACAAAAAAAAAAAATACTATGGCAAACAATTTTAATTTTTTTTAATCATTAAGCCCATTTTATAGATAAGAATGCTGAGATGCCAAGAAGTGCCCCGACTTGCCCCAGGTTACCCAGAGAAGTTGCACTTTTCAGCAAGTTGCCACTTAGAAATGCAAGTGGCATGTCACTGCGGGGATCTGAACTTGAAGAAGTGTGTGGATACAAAGAAATAGAGACACAGTCCCTTTCCTCAGGTGCATACAATCTGGTCAGCACACATGACTGACACTCAGACTGAATTACAAATGACTGAGGTCAGATCCAAACCTGAGAGCGGGTTTTCACGTGAGCAGAACACAGCAAACCAGAGGACAGGAAGAGGAGGACGTGAACGGGGCCAAAGGAGGGTCACCACAAAGTCACCCTCCACATGTGTGTCCAGGACAGGTCCAGGGAGCTGCTCTCTTTCCTTTCACTCGAATGAAATTGCTGCCTGCAATCTCAGTGTTGGGGAAGAGAGGTTTGTGCGGGTTCTTTCCCACACCAAGCACTTCCACAGCGGCCTGGCATTCTCCATTTCAACTCCGTTTGTCACTATGTACCCAGAGGTAGCATCCGATTCCACAGGCTCAGGGCTCAGTCCCACATCAGGGCCCACGCCGTGTCCCCACTTCACATGGTAGTTGCAAGCCCAGGTTTTCTGACTGCCCAGCTACAGATTAGACGTTCCAACAACCCCCTCCTCACGCTCAATTAATTTGCTAGAGCAGCTCACAGAACTCAAAGAAACATTTTACTTACTAGGTCTCGGGTTCATTAAGAGTAGAGCTCAGGAACAGACAGGTGGAAGGGGAACAGTGTCCATGCTCTCTGGGCACCAAACCGTCCCCGAATGTCCACGTGTTCACTGACCCGGAAGCTCTCTGAAACCCGTCCGTGAGGTTTTTAACGGAGGCTTTGCTGCAGGTGTGATGGATGAAATCATTGGCCCATTGGTGATGGGAGCTCAATCTCCCACCTTCTCCTCCCCGGAGGTCAGGGAGGGGGTGGGCCTGAAAATTCCAGCCGCTAAGGTTCTCCAGGTGGTTTCTCCTGCCAATCAGTCCCCGGCCTTAGGTGCTTTTCAAAAGTCACCCATTTACATCACAGGAAATTCAAGGGTTTCGGGAGCTATGTGCCAGAAATGGGAACAAAAACCAGACATATACAGGGTGTCCCCCAAAAATATACACACACTTTGAACAATTATTCATTCCAATGGGTTAAATCTGAAAAGAATGAAACATTAATTGAGCTATCAGCTGTTAAACTGTGTGTACATTTGGGGTGGACAAACTGTGGCTATTATAAAACACAATAGCACACTGGGCATTCCATGGGATTACAATCTGTGTCTTTCTTATTCAGCCCCATATAACTAGTATCTGGCACCTACATTTTGTTGAAAGAATGGAAGCGTACCTAAAAAAAGAAAAAGAACATATACAAAATTAAGTAATCCAAAGAACAAGAAATCTCAACTCTAATCTAAACATTCTCCTTTGAAGAGAGAGAGAGAGAGAGAGAGAGAGAGAGAGAGAGAGAGAGAGAGAGCGCGCGTGCAGGCTGGGGCACGTGGAGGAGGTGGGTGGGGAAGATCTGAGATACCTATAGATTCAGATGGGAGACTCTGACATCTGAAATGACCACCTTGAATTGCTACACTTAGGTCAATGCCTATGAAGCGTGAGTGGTCATTAGAATCACCAGGGGAGCTTCTTAAAACATTGAATGCTGATTCGGCCCGAGTTTCTGATTCAGCGGATCAGGGAAACTTTGCCTTTTTAACTAATTGCCAAGTGATGCTAATGTTCCTGGTTCAGGGTCTTGCACTTGGAGAACCGATAACAATCCACCTTCATTGCACATTAGAATCACCTTGGAGTTGATGAAAACACCCAGGCCGTACCTCTGACCAAAGCCGTCATACCCCCTGGGGGCGGGACCAGGGGATGAGTGTTTTTGAAAACCGGGACCAGCTGATTCCAATGTGCAGCCAAACCAGAGAGGAACTAAGTAGGTGAACATATATAGGTTTGAAGTTCATAAGTCATGAAAATAACAGCTAATATTTATTGAACACTTACCATAAAACACTCACTCTGCTGAGTAAGTTACTGCATGATCCCATTTAATTCACATAGAAATCTTTCTAGTAGGGCCTTCTGTTCCCATGTTACTGATAAGGAGAGTCAGAGAAATTAAGTGATTTGGCCTAGGCCTAGGCCATAAACTGGTAAGTGACAACCTGGGAATCCAGTTTATACCTCTATTGGCCTGAAGACTACTAACCAATAGAGGGTTATGCCTCTTAGTGCTCTGTCTCTGCCTTAAACCTTATTTTATTGAGTCCAGATGCCAACAATCTGGGCTGGAACAACTGGAATCGGCCTCATATTTATTGATAGATGATAAATAGATAGATAGATAGATAGATAGATAGATAGATAGATAGATATCTGCATTCATAGACACATACAAGAATGAACAAATGCAAATCACAGAATGGTTGTTTTAATGAGTTCAATGCTTTTTTTAATATCTAGCCACTGTCCTGCCTATACTTCTTTGATGGCTCATAATCACTTCAAAGAAAAGTCCAAACTGCAAATGTGGCATTCAAGTTCCTTGATGATGGGGCCCCTGCCTTGGACTCTCCAGCCCCACATTCTTCCTCCTGTTCTCACCCATCTATTTTCAGTTCCCCAAATCCAACCACACACCATGCCTTTGTCCACGTTCTTCTTTCTCCTTCCTCCCTCCTTGTCCATTTGGAGAACTTTCTACTCACCTTTAGGCTCAAATTGGCTACCACCTGCTACCCATAATCCTCAATGGATCCTTCCCCAGAGCAGTCACAGTGGCACTTGTATCCCGGTCCATTTTATTGTTTCTATTTTTCACTCTCTATACCAGTGGTCAGCAAGCCATGGCTCGAGAGCCACATGCGGCTCTTTGGACCCTTAAGTGTGGCTCTTCCACAAAACACTACATGCGGGCGCACACATACAGGGTGATTGAAACTTTGTGGCATGCGCAGAAGTCGGTTTTTGGCCTGGGCAAGTCTATTTTGAAGAAGTGGCGTTAGAACACTCAAGGAACCAAAGAGCCACATGTGTCTTGCGAGCCTCAGTTTGCCGACCACTGCCCTATACCCTTAATCTGAAATTCAGATTCCCTGGCCCATTGCTATCACTTTCCCTTGCCCAGTCTTTTTAATGGAATCCTGGCTCTGTCTGAGAATGAGACTTTCCCTGAAGATCCATCAGGTAAAGGCTGTACACTCTCCCATCCACTAGGCCTGGAGATAGGGTAGTATCCCTCTTCCTCTCTTCGGGAACATTCTTCTTCCTTCCCCTGTAAAACGCCAGCAGTTTTTAATCTCATGTTACCAGATTACACCATCCACCATCCCTCCCGTTAAAGTCCTACACACAGCACCCCATGCTTCACTTCTGGGATATTTATCTCCTGGCTCATTTCCTCTCTCCAATGGCAGTTATGTCTTCATTATTCATGATTTCCATCTCTACTCTTTTGGGGATGGAGGGGTTAAAATTTTTATGTACATTTATTTTTTTATTGTCTAAGGTTTTACATATGTCTTCTTTTTCCCCAGTTGACACCCCCCCCCAGCCATTTCCACCCCAGGCAAGCCCCCACCACCTAGTGTCTGTGTCCATTGGTTATGCTAATAAGCATGCATACAAGTCCTCTGGTTGCTCTCTAACCTCCCCGCCCCTATCATTTGTCTCTTTTAAATAGTCAATATATTCACATGATTCAAAATTTAAAAGGGACATCTATAATGTTACCTCCCTCCACAAAAAAAGGAAAAAATCAAACCTAAATCTGAACAAGTCTCTATCACTACCAATTTATAGAAAATACAAAAAAAACAGCTAGAGCAAGTGAGGGCAGTCAGCAATATCCGGAATATTACATTTACCATCCCAATGTCCTGTTCCCTCAGCTCCTTGATTTTCCTGCCTCCAATGAGCTTGTTCTCCATCCCACCTCACCAGTCACTCTCATGGTCTCACCCAGGCCTAGACCTTGGCATTGCTGTGGAGGCCCAGGGCAGGCTGTCCCAAGATATCCCCCCATGACATATTGATTACTGTGAATTAAAGTTACTTTAAAAACTGCCAATGCAAAACTGCCATCTGACCTCTCTCCATCGGTCACCCTGAAAGCAGGAGGTAAATCTGCCTTGTGAAAGGTGCCCTCCCTGCCCCTGGAGGCTGAGACAGACACCCTTCTCACCAGAGTGAAGGATCCAAGCTCAAGAAGTTTACATAAATAGCCAAAACCAGTTTGGCTCAGTGGTAGAGTGTCGGTCTGTGGACTGAAGGGTCCCAAGTTCGATTCCGGTCAAGGGCATGTACATTGGTTGCGGGCACATCCCCAGTAGGGGGGGCGTGCAGGAAGCAGCTGGTCGATGTTTCTCTCTCATCGACGTTTCTAGCTCTTCATTTATCTCCCTTCCTCTCTATTATATATATATATATATATATATATATATATATATATATATATATATATATATTTTTTTTTTTAAGTTGACATAAATAAGCCTTGTTACTAATATTCTACCCAAGCCCTGTCAGGTTTGGCTCAGTGGATAGAGCATTAGACTGTGTACTGAAGGGTCCCAAATTCAATTCCAATCAAGGGCATGTACTTTGGTTGCAGGTACATCCCCAGGAGGGGGTGTGCAGGAGGCAGCTGATTGATGTTTCTCTCTCATCAATGTTTCTAACTCTCTATCCCTCTCCCTTCCTCTCTCTAAAAAATAAATAAATAAATGAAAATTTCTACCCAAGCCCAAATTTTGTATAGATTCCTACTCATGGGCACCCAAAACCAAGTATCCTGTCAGTTCTGCAGAAATGTATTTTATCTTTAACATATAAAAAGTTGGCTGGTTCATCACTTCAGGAGTATCATC